GGGGCTATACATAATGGCGTCTTAAGTGCACGTTCGATTAATTTGTTGAAAACAGTCTGCAGCTTCAAGACCGCGGGTGGGAAAGATTCCGATTGGTGGAGATGGAGGCTGGTCAGCATGCTGGCCGCCCGCAATGGCAGGAAGCAGTGGCGGTGGCAGTGTCGTGAACCAGTTCGGAACTTGCAGTTTGTGGATAACATCAGACTGTGCAGATACGAGGCTGATTGGTGTGCCTATTCATTTACATAGCGTGCGGATGCTTTTCCGTGTTCTCCGCTCGCCTGTGGCTGACGCAACCAAGCCGCCTGCACGCGGCGATGCAGACCCGTCATCAGCTACACAATGCACTACTTCCTTGGTGCCTCCTGCACGCGACTGCTGAGGTCCAAGGTCTGCCATGTCAGCAGCCGCTGCAGGTAAGAGTCGGGGATGCGATCGAGATCGCATTCTGGGCTGCGGGGTGGAGACGATGGGATGGATATACGCCTTAGAAAGAGCACAATCACACGATAGGGTTCTCACCTTACTGACGGCTTTGGCGATCCGTCGAGCCTTACCCGATCGTGACCCTCCTGTAGACCTGTCTGGCCTAGCTCTTGACGCAGAAGTGAATAAGTGATGCCACCTTGCGCACATCCGCATTCCGAAGAAGATCACCCTATGAGTGCCAGCCTGACAGATACAGTACCTGCAGCATTCGTGATGATCTGAGACCGGAGCCGACTCCGTCGGAGTTTGCTACAGCTTCGTGCCCTCTTCTATATATAATTGCCATCGGCATCCTGCGATTGTTTCACGCGCACGAGGGCAACACGCAGCAACAATGCAGTCGTGAGTCTGATGAGTGTGCATGCGCGAAGCGCATGCGGAGCCTGCTTCCCATGCATCGATCGAGATCGATCGGGTGACGGCGGGGCTGAATTTACGTTCTTAGGTTTGCTGCGAAACAGAAATTCAAGCAGCAAGCAGCAAGCATGCAGCATACACGCGAGGGACGTAGAGCCCGACCAAGCGCACTACACTCAACATAATCGATCTTGAATGGCGAATAGAACAATCATTGAAGGTTGCAAGGAATCAAGAAAGTCAAAGCTTCGCAATTTGAGTCGAGTCACGAATGAGTGTCTTTTGACTTGAAGCCACAGACTTACCAGGAAGATGACTGATGAGCCTTATCGCGGGACAACGTTGGAGCATGGAAGGATAGCCGCGAACATCCAGCCACAACAATCCGAATCTGCGGTATTAGTAAAGAGGCATCGTGACTCGTGACTCCTCGTCAGAAACGGGTAGTACAATGTCTTGCGTCGTAGACGTGGCACTCAAGTTGCTCAGGCGAGTGGGTTCGAACGAAGTGTGCGCAAACAAGGTAGCTTCTGTCGACATGCAAAGCTTAGTCCTGGGCAGCGAAAGCGACCCCAATCCAGAACAAATGAGCGTTGCGCTGTAGATCCCTCTCCACAGTGCGGTATCGGGCACTTTGAGCCACCGCGGCGGACCGCGGCGAAGTGGTCAATAGACTGCTGGATGGATCGCGCGGATGCTTTCGGCCTCTCAAAGCCCTTCGCGGCCATGTCGAAAGCGTGCAGCTGCTGGGCCAGCCTTGATGACTCAACGTCTCTTATCACTCACGGCCCGTGACCGTTGCGTCGAGGCTGCATGCATCGTCGCTGTATAGCTGTCAGCGCGAATCGAAGC